GAAGCTTGGGCCCGGGCCCGGCCCATTGACAATGTGAATATTCACATTGACATGTTAACATTCACATTGATAGGAGTGTAAAATTAGCCTGCGGCCTGTGGCCGGCCCGAAACCCGCCTGCGGCTGGTGGGCTGCCCTGGGCGGGCTTGGCCCGACCCGTTGATAATGCAAATATTCACATTGACATGTTAACATTCACATTGATAAGAGTATAAAATTAGTCCGCGCCCCGTGGCTGTCCGAAACTAGCCCACGGCCCGGGGCGAGCCCGACCCGGCCTGTTGACAATGTGAATATTCACATTGACATATTAACATTCACATTGATAAGAGTGTAAAATTGACACGCGTCCCATGGGCGGCCCGGGGCGAGCCCGGTTCGGCCCGTTGACGATATGAATATTCACATTGACATATTAACATTCACATTGATAGGAGTTTAAAATTGGCCTGTGGCCCGTGGGCGGCCCGAAGCCTACCCGCTGCCTAGGGCGGGCCCGGCCCGGCTCGTTGACAATGTGAATATTCACATTGACATATTAACATTGACATTGATAAGAGTGTAAAATTAGCCCGTGAACCGTGGGCAGCCCGAAGCCCGGCCTCGGGCCGACGCGGGCCCGGCCCGTTGACAACGTGAATATTCACATTGACATGTTAATATTCACATTGATAAGAGTGTAACATTAGCCCGTGCCCCGTGGCTGCTCGAAACACGCCCACGGCCCGTGGGCGGCCCAAGACGGGCCCGGCCCAGCCTGTTGACAATGTGAATATTCACATTGACATGTTAACATTCACATTGATAAGAGTGTAAAATTGATTCGCGTCCCATGGGCGGCCCGGGCCTGCCCCGGGCCGCGGGCGAGCTTCGGGCAGCGGACAAGTTTTACACTCCTATCAATGTTAATGTTAACATGTCAATGTGAATATTCACATTGTCAACAGGCCGGGTCGGGCCCGCCCCGGGCCGCCAATTTTACACTCCTATCAATGTAAATGTTAACACAGGAAAAACTCGACGATTTAATGGGAAACGGGGATTGATGCTAACCTGCGACTGTAGTTTTTTTTTTTTTCCTTCTGTTTATTGTTGTTGTTGACCTACACTTTATTCTTGGAAGATATTGATGATGTGGCCAACTATGTCCATGCATGTCTCCTATATACCTAAGGCTAAGGTGGCCCAACCGAAAATCATTTTTATACTCTTATCAATGTGAATGTTAATATGTCAATGTAAATATTCACATTGTCAACAGGCCGGGCCGGGCCCCCCCGGGCCACCCACGGGCCGTGGGCGGGGTTTGGGCAGCCACGGGGCGCGGGCTAATTTTACACTCCTATCAATGTGCATGTTAACATGTCAATGTGAATATTCACATTGTCACGGGTTGGGCCAAGCCCGCGTCGGGCTGCGGTCGTGCTTCGGGCCGCCCACGGGCTGCGGGCCAATTTTACACTCTTATCAATGTGAATGTTAACATGTCACTGTGAATATTCACATTGTCAACGGGCTAGGCCCGCCCCGGGCCGCGGGCGGGCTTTTGGCCGTCCATGGGCCGCGGGTCAATTTTATACTCTTATCAATGTGAATGTTAACATGTCAATGTGAATATTCACATTGTCAACGGGCCGGATCGAGCCTGCCCCAGGCCGCGGGCGGGTTTCGCGCCGCCACGGGACGGGGGCCAATTTTACACTCCTATTAATGTGAATGTTAACATGTCAATGTGAATATTCACATTGTCAACGGGCCGAGCCGGGCCGAGTCGGGCCTGCCATGGGCTGCTGTCTAGTTTTATACTCTTATCAATGTGAATGTTAAATATGTCAATGTGAACATTCACATTGTCAACAGGCCGGGCCAGGCCCGCCTACGGGCCGTGGGCGGGTTTCAGGCAGCTACGAGGCGTGGACTAATTTTACACTCCTATCAATGTGAATGTTAACATGTCAATGTGAATATTTACATTGTCAACGGGCCGGGCTGGGCCCGCCCCGGGCTGCCCATGGGCAGCGGGCGGGTTTCGCGTTGCCACGGGACGGGGGCCAATTTTACACTCCTATTAATGTGAATTTTAACATGTCAATGTGAATATTCACATTGTCAACGGGTCGGGTCTGCCCTGGCTCGCGGGCGGGTTTCGGGCCGCCCACGGGCCAATTTGCATTCCTACAAATGTAAATTTTAAAATATGAATGTTCACATCATTAAATTGCTAATCGTTGAAAAAATATTTATAAGGGTATCAAAATTAAATATAAGGGCATAAGTGTCCAAGAAAATAGTGTAAATCAAGAAAATGGACTTTATGGAATAAAACTATACATACATGGGACTAAGAAAAATGCTTGGGAGCACTAATTAGTGCTCCAATTAATTAGGTGGCAGTGAGTCCCGTCATTAATGATGTGATGTTTTGGTCTTGGAGTTGTATTTTTTTTTTTTTTTTACTTTTTTAATGCATTAGTGCTATTAGTGGTGATATTTTTAGTGGGATGAATCATTGTTGTGGGACTAAATGGGTTAAAAAATTCCTTCATAAACTTCTTGGGTTAAAACACTTCCAAATTAGACTTATTAATAAAAATCCCTCCAAAAGAAAGGGTTATGATGTGTGCAGATGTGGCATGATATGATTTGGTGAGTGACGAACCAAAAGTAGGGAAAAAGTAGTATAGAGGATCCAAACGCTCATCGACCCCTCTCTCTGTTTCTCTTCACAGTTGGAGTTCTCTGCTCTCTTTGTTTGCATCTCTGCAAAAACTGTTCAAACCCTCTCTCTCTCTCTCTCTCTCTCTCTCTCTCCATCAAACATGAATGTATCTATAATTGTATGTATATGTGTAGTTCATGAATTAACGAGATCTGTTGCATTTTCGAGGTGGTGTTCACATTGGTGGTTGTTGAAGAGTTCGCAATTAGATTAACACTTTAGCTGTTTTTGGATTTGATTTGGTACTCAATCTTAGGGGTCTATGGCAGTGACACTTTAACTTTATTTTGAAGTTTCTGTATAAACAGTCATTTCTTGCGATTTTTTCTGTTTTTTGGTCAAGGAAAGTGTTAATTTGATGAAAAAAATACTCGAAAACAATGTCCAATCCTTTTATCAAATGTTTATCAAATCAATGGAGAAACTTTTTTTTTCCTATCAAATTTGAATATGATGAAAATTTAAAAAGATAAAGCATTGGTGATCATTATTTTTTCAACAAATTCCCCCCCCCCCCCCAATCAAATTTGATGAAAAGGGAAATTTGGGATAGTGGGGGAATTTTAAAAAGATTTTGATGAAAATTTGATGAAAGGTTTGGAGTAGTTTATATCAAATCAAGTTTTTACTTAAATTTGAAATCAAATTAGATGAAAAAAGTTCCTTCACCAATTTAATGAAAAAGTGTTAAAAAATCATTTCCAATCCTTTGATCAAATGTTTATCAGATTAAGGGAGTCATTTTTTTTCATCAAATTGAAAATTCATCAAATTTAAATTTGATGAAAATTTAAAAAGATGAAGCATCGGAGATGATTTTTTTTCCATCAAATTTGATGAAAAGAGAAATTTGGGATAATGGGGGAATTTTAAAGAGATTTTGATGAAAATTTGATGAAAGGTTTGGAGTAGTTCATATGAAATCAAGTTTATTACTTAAATTTGAAATCAAATTAGATGAAAAGTAGTGAAGGGTTGGAGGTGCTCTATGCATAAAGATGCGGACTTAGTAACAAGTAATAACTTACTTGGATGGTTCCTTTGTTAGACGTTCTAAGCTTTCTCGGCTACAGCTGGCTGAGAGGAGTGAATTTTCATTTAGGCCCTTCTCTTTATTGAGTGAATTAGTCAATTAGGTGATCTGGGTAACCTTCAATTTGGTCAATCTTGGCAATTTGATGAAAGATATTGATTTATAAGAAACCTATAGATTTTATTTTGGTGTTGATTTTGCTGTTGTGGAGATTATGCAATCTCATTTGTACATCTTCTTATCAGTGAACTAAATTTGAAACGGCAAATGCTACCAATGCTCTAGGGCATTAGGTTGCATCGAGATTGGACTGAATTATTTTGAAAATAGGTGGATAAGTGAAAAGGTATATGAAATTGGTGAACAGTGTTTTGAAATTTGTGAAAATTATATCATGTTCTTTGAATTTATTTTCCTTTTTTTTTTTTTTTTTTTTTTTTTTTTTTGTTTGGCGTGCCGTAGGACCATGTGTTAGCCAGACTCATTTGAAAAACCTTCTTTCCAAATAATTGTGCAATTTTCTTTAGCTAGTGCCACATTGTTTATTTGTTCATATGGCATTCTGTGTCTCTATGCTGCCTCAATTATTGTTCTTATTCATCTCTTTTTGAATTGTATTTCTACTGACATTTGAGGTCTGCTGAACAAAAATTTTAAATGGGAAGGTCAGATATTGATACAGAGTTGAGGGTTAAAGAATAAAAAAGGTCAGATTTTGATACGGTGTTGAGGGATAAAGAAAAAAAATGCTTGAAGCAGTTAGAAGAAATCTTTAGGATCTTAGTTTTAACTCAACAGATGTACTTTGAAAGAACTGAGATACATTATTTAAATGGTATGACTGGTTAAATTTGAAGAAATGTTTCTCTTATGCAATTTCAAAAATACTTTAGTTAAGTTCATTTCATATGGAATTTTCAATTGTCTATTGCTAAAGTTTTTTTGAATGAAGACATGCAAAATTTGATCCATATGCACATCAATTTTAATACCTAGTTCACAAGTTCTGTATATTTTGTTGTTTCTTTCTCTTCTCTTTCCAAATGCCTCCCTACAGATCTATGAAACTCCACTCACTCTTGAATCAATTTCAGAGACTTTTCTATTTTCTGTATTCTTCTATTAATTCCCTTGGATTATTGCCCTAAACTCTCTATTTACAACATGCAAAATTTTGGTTATAAACTTGTAAATATTTTTAGCATTTAATTTATATATTTATTACAAATTCATAGCCTTTTGTTTTAAGATATATTAGAGGGAGGTTTGCATTTTTTTGGGGGTGACTTAATGGTGGCTTTGAATTGACTCTGTTGAAAAATTTTCTTTGTATATTAATGGGCAGCATTATCTTGCTTTGTATATTATTGTTGGCATGGTGCAAGGGATTCACCTGGATGTTAATAGGAAAAACGTGGAATCATTGAATTAAGAATAGCATGTGATGGAGCTTCCTACTATTGGAGAATGTTAAATGATTGACATGTACTGGATATAATTTGCTCGAGTATGGCATACATGACAGACAATATAATTCAGAAAGAAAACCGGAAAAAAGTTATTTAGTGTATTTATTGGGTCATGCTAATGACAGACCTGCAGGCTGTCATTATGGTGGAGATAATTTCGAAATAGTTAGAACCCCAATACACTTTAAACATGTTTCCAACCACTTTTATATGTTTTTATACATTTTTGTGCATTTTTATATACTTTTTACTTGTATGGGGGGTCATTAGCGTTCACCATATTCTTCTTTTAGCATTCAAATATTGTCTTAGATCTGTACATTATGCGCTATGCACCGTAGTGGTAATATTTAAAAACTTTCAAAATAAAAGCTGTATATGCTATTGGATTTAGATTGTTTTGCACGCTGATTTTTATTTTACTAAGTGGAGTACCAATCCCTATTTCTGGAAAGATGATGTTCATTTTCTGTCCATAAAGTGAAGATTTTTGCTGCTCTATGGTATTTGTAGTCGTGGTTAACTACTTTTAAACCTAATATTGTGTTATTTTGGTGTCTAATGGTATCTGTGCTATGCATTGGACGGAAAACGTTGAATTGATCTCTAGAACAAATTTTCCTGGTGATGCAATGTGCATGTGCAACTCTTGCAGTTTTGTGGTCTTGTTATTTTGTTATTGTCTATTGATTTATCAGTCATGTATAAGCCCATTTTCGTTTAGTGCAATTCTGTGAAATGTTTAGTCTTTGAAATTTACTTATTCGAATGATATGAATGACAATGGATGAAAAGTCTGCTATTGTTTTGGTATATATTTTGAACTAGGTATGCAAAATCAACATGCACTTTGTTTGTTTCATCTTGTGCAATATCGAAGTATGTATATTCAGTATTCATGTCAGATATTTTGGATCTAACAAAAGTTTTCTTTTTGTAGTTTAAGTAGGAAAAAAGAAGGAAAACAAATTATAAAAAACAGAAGGAAAAACAACAGTTCAGGAGCATTCAAATATGGTAATTCAGTTGTCAATGATAATTTGAGGAATTGATTTCTTATTTTTTCATTTTAAAATGCTCTGATATTATGATTTTTTTATGGGTTGGATTTCCAGTCAGCACTCTTCAATTTCAATTCATTTCTTACAGTAGTGCTGTTAGGGATTTGTTCCTGCACTTATTTGAAGATGCAATTTCCAGCACTTCTTGAGCAGAAAACTGGGTAATTGCTCTTTTTTAAATAAATCTGTTCTATTTTGATGTTTGATTGTGTTGTATGAAGTTGAGTTTCCCTGGTCTTTTGAAGGGCACGGTATTTAACTTTCTTTTACCAGACTTGCAAGTGATTTGCCTCGCCCAACCATCTGTTGTATCTATGTTTGGAGGTGGTCAATTTTATAGATGAGGTTATCAGTGACAGTGGTGTATGATTTCATTTGTAGGAAGTGCTGACAATAGGAGTTACGCATATTATGCTTATATGCTATGATTTTTTTCCTTTCTATCTTTGCTTTTTAAAGCTTCATTTGATAAATAGTTAATTATGTAATTTTGATTTTGATAGTAAGTGAATTGATTTGCATTCTAATGAGACATGCATCTGGCAGGTTCCGAGGTTTCTTTTGGAAGGCAGCTAGAATAGGTAGGCTTTGTTTTTCTACAAGCATACTGCTGGTCTCGTGGGACTTGTTAGGTTCCACTTTATCTGTTTGTCTGCATTATGTTCAAACTAGTTCCCCAGATGCTTTTGTTTAATGATGCATGCATTTATATCCTGCAAATGTAATGCCTAAATTCAACTCTGTTAAGGTGTAAAAAGGCCATGCCTGGGCATGAGGGTTTTTAGATGTTGAATTTCTGAGCCCATTCCAGTACCTTCAAATCCAGGGCCAACGCCTACTCAATTAACATTCTTATCTCCAAATATAGTCTTATTTTAAACTGGCACCCATCTCCATTTGAATGATTAGGTGCTTTTTTTTTTTTTCAAAAAAAAAAAAATTAAAACTCCTGCGTAAGGATGTTCATGATGGTTTGAAACCCTAGAAGGGAATGAGTACTTTTCCTCAGTCAGCATGTCTATTTTCTAAGAGCTTCCAGCACACAAATTGCCCATTGTGCAACATTCCCATGGAAAGGAAATCACAAATTATAGAAGCATTTGTCTTGTTAGTATATCTAATGCATATTTGACTCAACTATTACACTATGAAGAATTTTGCAAATCCATCATGGGATGGAACGATATATTTTAGTAGATAAATGCCTTGATAGGAAATATGACACTCATGGATGCAGTCACTCTATTTACTTCATTACCTATACAGGCATAAGTTGTAATCTGACAAATTAACATTTATTGCTGTGTTTGCTGAGACAGGTGAGCGATTGAGCCCTTGGGTGGCCGTGGGATGCTTCACCATGGGTGTGTCAGTGATCTTTTTCTAGTAAACAGGCATGTTCATGAACTTAAAGTAAGCTTCAAGAGCTTCTAGTTACTCCCTTAGAAGTTGATGTCCTCAAATGGCCCGTGTGATGAAACACTGTTTACATAAATTCTATTTGGGTACAATACCTGTAGTCTTAAGCAAATTAGTTATCTTGGCAACATTTGTAGAAGTGAAGTCACTTGTACTTTGAGAACAACTTTTGTTTGGTTATGATTATAAATGAAGATGTTTTTCCAACAGCATTATCTCGGGCTTTGAAACTTGATATCATGTAATGCCTTGTGTTAGATTATTTAAGATCTCATTTTGGAAGCAACACTTGCAGTTGTAAATAAATTTGATCTGTTGACACTTTGTGTCATGTGAATTGTACTTTGTGAGCATGTTTACTTTGTTTTATGATGTGATGCATTTCCCCCCACTTTCTTAGAAAATATTTCAGGGCTAATGTGCCTGATTCCCTGAACCATTGATGACGAATCTGATATGAGCCTTACTTGAAATTGTTTTTCTTCAGAAAAGCTTGCTTTATTAAGGGTACAGTATGACAGTATGATAGAACCCTTTTAGTTGTTCAATCAATACTCATTCTGCTTTAATTAGAGAGTAGTATGTGCTCATGAATATAGTGTATAGATGTACATCAAGTGAAAAACTGTAAGTTGAAGGCGAGTCGAAGCAAATGAACAAAGGTCTTAAGTTGAAATTAAGGCAGATGGAGGTTTAAAGCCATTAGGAAGACAAGCAATGATGTAAAATGTGATCTTGTGCTTGAATCTCCTCAAGACCAGAACCCTTCCTTCTCCCCATTGGAAAATTGATGCACTTAGCTGCTTTGCATTGCCTCCTTTGTGGACTCTAACAATGTCTTTCTTGATTTCTTCATCTTTGCCTCCCCATTGAAGAGGATATCTTCTCAAGAACACCCTTCTATTGTTGTAGTCTTTGTAGCGAAAGCTCCTGGTTCTCAGGCCATTTTCTGCTATAATTTCAGACCCCATTTGAACTGTAGGTGTTAACAATGGTCTGATTCTTCTTGTTGGGAGGAAGGTTTTTTTATAGGAAGAAAAATGGCATGAGAGTATGAATAATTTAATTACTATGTTGATAAGTGAGAGACAGACTATTTTTCTTAGAAAAATGGCATAAGGGGAATCATTTCATGATCTTAATCTTGGTGGTATCTCTAGTAATTGTCAATTAACTGCAAATGAGTCGGGCTGGGTAGTAAGTTGTTGAAATTTGACTTGAAAATTTAACTTGACTTGTTTATTTTGGAAATTGATCTCAAACAAGTTTTAATCGAACTGAGATTGTTTTACTTCCTATGTATATTCATGTAATAAAAATTGTGCATATGTTTTGGACCCACTATATTTAACAAATAATGAGAGAATCATATTTTCATGCTGTTATAGTTGTTCGATTATCCCTTGTCAAATTGTATTCCCATACTCTAGCTATCATGACCTGAATCCGCCCCCATGGGTTAAGGACATAACCGGCCAGTAATCCTGAGATTACCTACGGCCTCAAACCAAACCAGGCATAACTCATCAGAGTAAAGAGGCCAAACGAAAGCAAAATTTAAAATTTTGTCCATAGAGCTGTGCTTACATGACACATCATAACAAACCATACATATACATATTAATAACTCACATCAGAAAATACAGTAATATAAAGTTCTGTACAGACAGGATTATTCAAGTCTAGGTCAGCCAATCAAAAATCTATACACACATAAACCAAAGTCCTCACCAACATGACGAAATAACACAAGATAGCAAAAGGGCGAAGACGTGTCTCGTGCGTGAGACGCAAGGGTTGGCTCTTCAAAACCTGGTTGTTCCTCACAAACTTCACTGAGGCTGGGTTTGGACTTCCCTTGGCTCATCTACAGGCACATGAATAAGCGTGAGCGAAAGTTCAGTGAATAATATCAAATAAAGAAGTTATACAAACGGTATTTAGAACAACGTGCCTCCAACGGCCTTGGGCCTAGTTCGTATTTCTATCTAGCATATATATATAAACATAGGTCAAGTGACTGCAGTTTCAAACACATCATACGGCCTCGGGCCCAATTCATTCGTGTCATACGGCCTATGGCCTATTCATTCATATCATTCATGTCAGATTGGCCTTTGGCCCAACCATTCTTCTATTCATGTCAAACTGGCCTTTGGCTCATTCATTCTTTCATTCATGTCAAACTGGCCTTTGGCCTATTCATCCTTTCGTGTCAAACTGACCTTTGGCCCATTCATTCTTTCATGTCAAACTAGCCTTTGGCCCATTTATTGTTTCATTCATTAGCAAACGGCCTTAGGCCCAACCATATGGCATAGCAAACATTTGTCCACAATTCAATCAACAAGCTCATAAAATTTATAGAGAAATAAGTAATTGGATAAATAACATATTTCAAAATATCTTTATTAAGATATTACTCACAGTGATTGGCTGGATGATTTGCCTTGGAGCTCGACCCTACACATTCCATGAACACAATGGGTCACAAACAAATCAATCCATTCTTAATTCACATATTCCTCTTTAGGCTTCATTCTGATCTTTTAACTCATTTACAATGCTTAATGCATGCCTAAGAGTACTTAGAAGTGAAAGAGAACGGAAAACGAAACACAGAACGCATTTTCAAAATTTCAGAAACAGGGGTCCCCGCTCAAGCGTGGAATTCCCCGCTTGAGCGGACCCATGAGGTCTGCAAAAGTGCTAGTTACATCAATTTTACGCTCAAGCGCAAACTCGGATGCTCGAGCGGAAGGTCATCCTACATAGCTCCCCGCTCGAGTGTAAACTTCCTCGCTCGAGCGGACATCATGTCTGCAAAATATATTAGGAGCTCGTAATTTACGCTCGAGCGGCGGTTTTCCCGCTCGAGCGGACATCATGAATTCTGGGTTTTTCAGAATTTGTTCTTGAGCTCAAATTCGACCTTCCAAGGTTCAAAACCCATAATTTTGGTTCCCATTCATGCAAACACAGCATATAACATGGGTATACAAGTAAGATGAGGTCAATTGCTCAAGATCATGGCTCAATTCTTCAAAATCAATCAACATTTTTGTATAATCATGGCTCACGTTTTCAAACCTCATATGAGCTCCATATCTTCAATAATCAAACATACATGCAATCTTTTAACTCTAATTCCATTTCAAATGGGTCAAGTGATGCTCAAACACATGAAATTCATCCAAATCATGCTTGCATTTATGATCCCACCACTCAATTTTTCATGATTAACAAACTACATGATAGATTATACAATCCTTGCTTATTTATGATAATTCTATGCATGCATGCACATTCTAGCTTCATTTTCAACTAAATTTTTGCCATGAGCTACCAAGTCACTAGAATTCACAAAATCACAAGTTCAACTCATATATTAGGGGTTGATTACTCACCTATGAGCTTCAAACACTCAAGTTCTTGGAGTTTAACTTCAAATTCCCAAACCTTGAGCCAAAATTGCACAATTCTCCCCATTTCTCTCTCTCTATAGCTGGCCCTCTCTCACTCTAATGGTGCAAAACTCTGATTTTTGAACTCAAACCGATGAATGTGAGTGTGTAGTGCCCTTATTAAAAAGCTCCCTTGGTCACATTTATCAATATAAAATAATTGAGCATTAATTCATTAATTTAATCTATTTAATTTGATCCGAATCAGTTTTCAATTAAATTTCACCGTAGGTTCTAAAAATTATGCTAATCACAATGGCGTAGTCAATTTCGGGTTTTGTGGCCGATAATGCCTTCAATTTAAATCACAAAGTAGATAATCAAACAGATATTCCTACGGTGAACAGATAAAAATTCAAAACCACATATTTTCACATAATTGACACACAAAATCATATCAAACACATAATCACATTCATAATAAGGACCAAGTAGCATAAAACAGAATAGGGTTATCACAATCTTCCCCCCTGTAGGAAGTTTGGTCCTCCAAACTTAATTTACCTTCGTTGGGAAACAAATGTGGATAGCCTAGGAGCATTTCATCCTCTTTTTTCCACGTGGCATCCGTCCCATAGTGTTCTTTCCATTCCACTTTCACCATTGGAATGGACTTGCTTCTCAATTGTTTCACTTACCGGTCAACGATCTATTCCGGCCATTCGGCGTACTCCATATTTTCATCAAAAGCTACCCGGTGATAGTCAATCACATTAAACGGGTCCCGAAGATAACCCCTTAACATTGACACATGAAACACATTGTGGATCTGCTCAAACCCCAGTGGCAAAGCAACTCTATAGGCAACTGGACCAAGCCTTTCTAGAATTTGAAACGGCCCAATGTAATGGGGCGACAACTTGCTCTTCTTTCCAAATCTGACTTGGCCCTTCATCGGATTCACACGGATAAACACATGGTCACCAACCTTATACTCAAGAGGTCTTCTTCGAACATCTGCATAATTCTTTTGTCGATCCTGAGCTATTTTGAGCCTTTACTGGATAGTTTTGATCTTCTCAGAAGTGTCTTGCACAATTTCAGGCCCAAGTAAAGCTCTATCCCCGGCTTCTGTCCAACAAATCGGTGATCTACACCTTCTACCATACAAAGCCTCGTATGGTGCTATACCGATGCTGGAGTGGAAGCTGTTATTGTATGCAAATTCTGCGAGTGGCAAATAGTCTCCCCAACTCCCCTGAAAATCTAAGGCACACATTCTCAGCATATCTTCTAATGTCTGTATGGTCTGTTCTGATTGCCCATCTGTCTGTGGATGGAATGCAGTACTAAATCTCAGTCCTATCCCCATAGTTTCCTGCAAACTTTTCCACAATCTAGACACAAATTTCGGATCTCTATCCGACACAATAGATACCAGAACTCCATGTAAACGGACAATCTCATCAACAGATATTGTAGCCAGTCTATAATCATTAAATGCAGTTCTAATTGGTAGAAAATGTGTAGACTTAGTCAGTCTATCAACTATAACCCAAATAGAATCCATACCTCGAGGAGTCCGAGGTAGGCCAACAACAAAATGCATAGTCACATGCTCCTACTTCCATTCAGGAATAAGGAGAGGTTGAAGTAGACCGCCCGGTTTCTGATGTTCAGCCTTAACTTACTGACATTTAAGACACTTGGATACATATTCTCCAATTTCTTTCTTCATTTTAGGCCACCAATAGCTTTGTTTCAGATCCCGATACATTTTATTGTTACATGGATGCATAGCAAACACTGATTTGTGGGCTTCATCTAAAACCCTCTTCTTTAGTTCTGGAATATCTGGGATACACATTCGGTTTCGAAATCTCAACACTTCGCCTTCAATGCTGAACTCTGCTTTCGGACTTGCCTC